TCATTAAGCAAGGACCTCGTGTGACCATGACTTCTGACTTCCTGCCAGTTTCCTCAGTGACTTTGCTTGTGAGAAGCCAACAGGGAAGATATCAAATTGTGATTACATGATTATGTGTTGCTGAGACAGCCAAAACTCCAAATATCTGTTGTAAGTTCCCCTTGTTCAGTGCCATCACAAGTGTGAATGGTCACTAAACAAATGGACATAAGTTGAGGACTACCTGTATAAATGTGTTAAAACAAAGTCCATATTCATTGTAAGGAGGAAGGTATTCAGTATCAAAAGATTCATGCCTGGACTCTGCATTCCCAAATCTTTTATTATCTGTATAAGGAGATGAAGGGAATATTTATCAGATTTGCAGATAATATAATGGTGATCAGGATAGCTAACTCCTTGTAAGAGGAGAAGAAAATTCAAAATTACGATATCTTAGATATATAGCCTAAAAATACCACATAAAGTTATGCATTTAAGAAACCAGTTAGATAGATACAGAATGGGAACATCTGGTTTCAGTAATTCTAACTGAAATAAAAATCCATTCAATGTTTCCAAATTGAATGAATAAATAAAGAAGATAAATGCATTTTTAGATTGTATCAACATTAACATACTTTCTAAATCATGGGTATGTCTAGTTTAATGAAGAGAAGGACGAGGGGGGACATGATACCAGTGTTCCAATATCTCAGGGGCTGCCACATAGAAGAGGGAGTCAAGCTATTCTCCAAAGCGCCTGAAGGCAGGACAAGAAGCAGCGGATGGAAACTAATCAAGGAGAGAAGCAACCTAGAACTAAGGAGAAATTTCCTGACAGCTAAAACAATAAATCAATGGAACAACTTGCCTCCAGAAGTTGTGAATGCTCCAACACTGGAAGTTTTTAAGAAGAGATTGAACAACCATTTGTCTGAAATGGTATAGGGCAGACATGTCAAACACAAGGCCCGGGGGCCGGATGCGGCCCACGAAGTGGTTTCATGTGGCCCGCGAAGCCATCCTGGAAACAGTGAGGGAACGGCCCCTGCTGTCTTGGCCCTGGCCCAGGCCAGCCGGGAGCCAATGTGCAATTTTGTGGTGGCCATCTATGCTGAAATGCATTCAGTCTTAGCTCCACAAGGCTGTCTGGAAACAGCAAGGAACCAGCCCCTTCCGCGTCAGCCCTGTCCCCTGGGTGCATGCTGGGGAGGTGTTACCCTTTATGAGGAATGAAGAAATGCACCATCGCCTGGAAGTGGCCAGAAAATGGCCCTCGCCTACTTCACATATCTGGCTTGATGGGCTCTGCCCTGATCCCATCCCTTTCTGCCAGACACCCTCAGATCTGTCCCACTCCTGTCCAGGCCCCCACAGGCACTCTTGACGCAAATGATGTAGAGCTGGCCACACCCACTCCATCCACGCCCACCCAGTAGGCCACCCCCCCCAGAGGGCAACCGCAATGCTGATGCGGCCCTCAATGAAATTGAGTTTGACACCCCTGGTATAGGGTTTCCTGCCTAAGTAGGGGGCTAGACTACATGACCTCCAACGGTCCCACTAAGTTGCCCCTGCATACTGAATATAATTCTTGGATTCACACTTTAAGGATTCTAAGAAATTAGGATAGATACAAAGACAGGTAAGAATGATCAGACTATGAAATAAATCCTATCTGAAAAGATTGAAGGAACTCTGTTAAGCCTTGAAAAAATCACTATTGAGAAAAACGTAAGAGCACTCTTCAAGTACAAAACAAACATACCTGTCCCATATTCTCACAGCTTACAGAACATGGAAAAATAGCTTTAAGTCAGCAGATTTCAGTTACAAACTAAGAAAAACATTCTACTCTCCACTGCTAGTCTGATCTTATTGGATTAACATTGGAGAGAAGCGGGCTTGACGACATAAATGATTCCTTCCAACTCTTATTTTATTACTGGGCTAACCAAACTGTTGTGCCAGGCTTTTACGAAAGCAAGAACAAAGAATAGAATGTTTCGTAACAGGCTTAACCTGGAAAGTTTACAGTGCAACACTTTAAGCAGCAGCATTTTATTAATAGGATTGACAGTTATGAAGCAAGTGTGTAGAAGGCAATTATTCATATATGTGCAAAAATTAAGTGGTACATGTGCCTATTCAGCTATCCATTCTATTTAGAGCATTGGCTTTACCAAACTGAACCGGATTCAATAAAGCTAGCAATCAACCTAAACAATTATTTTCTATGAATCATATTTTATCAAAATGTCCTACAAGCCCCTGATTTTAATCTCCTGGCTCATCAACATGCACATATTACAATCGGCCGAAAGCGCTATATTTAAGTTGGAAAAGCCCGTTCTCCCCAGACGTAATAACATCTCGCGAGAGAAATAACAAGTCGGGAGAGATCCGTCAGCTCTTCCGTCCTTTTTTTTTTTTTTTTTTTTTTTTCCGGGCCCAAGCAACGCGGGCTCCAAAAGCCGCGGCCACGCAGCGCCAGCGGCCGTCCCGCCAAACGCCCTTTTTTTTCTCGCTCACCTTTTCCTCAGTGCAGGACACGATGATGGAGGGATATTTGCGGCTCAGCCACCGGAAAAACGCCGGGACCCCCATTAGTCGCTCCGGACCCTTGGGTGCGCAGACCTTTCCTCGACAAAACCGGCGACGAAAGATGTCCGGGTCACCGGGTCACCCCTAGTACGATGGGTAAAAAAAGACGGAACTGCGCAGCGCGTAGGGGAACGTGGCCAATGACGTAATTTCTCCAACTCCCCTGCTTGGCCGAAGTGAATGGAAAAGCGGTTTCGGTTTCGAGTGGCTGCTGGAGGAGCTGGGCTGTCTCGCGGCGGCCGAAGGCGGGGGGCTGCCTTGGGTACTCATTGATAGCTAGTAAATTTAGTGAGAATAATATCGGTTGGAGGACATTTTGGGGAAATCGCCAGCATACCCGTCATTTTATTTGTGCTCTCTTTTGCTTGTTCAAAAACTGTTTTTTCTAATTTTTACCAACTGGCGCTCCCTCCCTCCATCCGAATTTGGCATATTTGAACTCCGTATTTGAAGCTGTAGCCCACTAGATTGTACCCTTCGTCAGTCCGACGGCCCGCAAGTGAAGTGACTTTCTTTACCCATCCATTGGAATTTTTGGTATGGAGGTTCCACACATCTGACATGGAACCGGATTGTAGAAGGCTGATGTATTGTGTGTTCATTGAAGGAATCCGATTCAATGATAAAACACTTTTTTTTTTTTTGCATACTCAAGATCTGTATCGGAATCTTCCCAGGCTGGAGTTTTTGTAGAAAGAGCTTTGCTAGAATGGACAAGAGACCTACTAACGAATTAACATGGTGTCCTTTCCATTATTTGTGTTTGTAGTGGGCAGGGAGACATTGGGCACATCGTGGGAACAGTCCATTTGATTAAACAGTTAATCAAATTCATTTAATTTAAGGGGGAAATACTATCCATTGACTTAGTCCATCACAGAGTCCATTGTAGGGCAGAGAAATCTCAGTTGCTTGATTTGCACATCTTATTTCATGTTATATATACAATAAATTAACTGGCATATTGCATATATGTTGTGATTAGTTAGGGTAGTCAGATATGGACTGCCAAACTCCAGGTAATCACTAGATGAAGGGGTTTTCCTATTTCTCTACTATCATTTAGAGAGAATGAAACAATAGATCTTGTAAATCAAAAGGCTATTGACCATCCGTGTGTTTAAATTACTTCTCTCCCTTGATCTTTATAAACACTAAATTTTAGCTGAAGAGGGGAAGATGAATGCTTTCTCCCAGCAGAAGTCATTCAGAGTGAACACTCAAGCCTATGAAATAAACCAGGGATTACTAGGAAATGGAAAATTCATCTTTAATCTGATCAAATATTAGTAACATCTGATTATCAAGCCTAATCTATGGCAGTGATACAGGCAAAAAATAAATGTTTTCTTCTACCAGTGTCTAGGTAATCTTAAACTTTCAACTGTAATGGAGCCTATAAATTATCACATGACCAACCCAATTTTATGGCTTTTTGGGTGGTAGTCGTTAAGTGAACACTGCAGTCATTAAACAAATCCATTGTTTGCTATGAGACATTTTTATCCAAAACCTGGAAGTAAATGCTGGGTTTTGGCAACAACATAAATTGTGGGATGCTGCAAAATGGCTTTAACTGTGGGCTGTTGCTAATGAAAGGTCATGTGACCATTTGGGGCCAGCCATCAGAACTTTGGAACTGGGTCATAAGTACCTTTGTAATAAGTTTGAATGGTCACTAAGCAATATAAATCAAGGGAACTTGTATCTACTTTATTCCATCCAGTGGAGGCTTTGTGAGGGCCCAAAGTCTACTCTAGAGGTTCTTGCTTGGGGAATGGTCTAATACAGTGGTTCTCAACCTTTTTAATGCCGCGACCCCCAACCGGTCGTAAGTCGAGGACTAAACCGGTCGTAAGTCGGGGACTAAGCCGGTCGTAAGTCGAGGACTAAACCGGTCGTAAGTCGAGGACTAAACCGGTCGTAAGTCAAGGACTTTCCCTGCCCGGGAGCACTGCGCATGCGTGGTTCTGCCCCCTGCGCCGGCCGAGGCGTAGCTGGCAAGCAGCAGGCCGACCACCAGCTGGCCCAGCTCAAGGGAGGTAAGGCACCCGCCAGAAAAGGGAAAAAAAATGGCGAACAGCCTTGCTTGGCGACCCCCGTGAAATGGTCGATCGACCCCAAATGGGGTCGCGACCCATAGGTTGAGAACCGCTGGTCTAATAGAATCCTTAGTAGTTCAGTGTGACATGTTTGTAAAACACTTTGAAGACAAAAATAAGATTGCAAACTGTTCTGTAACTCAATCACCAGTCTTGCATGAGACAAATACTTAATACCATAGCTTACAATGAATTGCTGGATCAGAACAAATCTTTTTTGACTGTCAAGATCCTGTTTATTTCAATGTGCAAGGATTATTTAATGATCATTGTTATCAATTTCAAAATATAAACAAAGATGAGAACAGTTTCTTCCAGGTTTTCAGCAGTACATTTTATTGGGAGTATAAAAAGACAACAAATATAATATCTTGCGTTGTCCAAGCTAAACTAAGGGTAAGAAGACACGTTTACAAATTTGATTTCTGAAATAATATGCTTTACTTATATAGCTAAAAAAATATAGAGCTAAGCCAGAAATGCCATTATTCATACAATTGCTCTTTTTGTGAAATTTCCTCATCCCTCTTTTAATCATGCTTTTAATTTTTTTAACTACTATTTCCATAACTAAAAACTTCCCTCCTGATGCAAGCAGTAGTAAACAATTAAAACTACAAATATGAACAAGGTCCCAACCTATCAGTTGTTTTTATTTAATGTAAAATTCATAATGGCATTAATAAACATCGTAGTTGCTTTGACCTGAACTGGATCCATTAGTTTGAAGGCCATTCAAGTATAAGAATACACTTTTTTCAACAAAGTAATTGGATCAAGGAACAGGTATAGGAAGGAATATATAAATTAAAGGCCTACAGTTTTCCAACTCCAAAATTACTCTCCCTTTCTCTTCTTTGTACTTCAGATTTCAAGCAAATCCAGATGTAAATCTTAGGTTGTTGGGATTTTGGTGCTCTTTGAGTTTGGTTTTCAGAAGACTTATAATCATTCACAAAAATATTGGGTGAACGTAGGAGAGAGAATGATTTGGTGTGGCTGGAATGGTAAGGTACATCAGGATATCCATTCCATCAGGGTATCCATTCCAGATTGACCTTTCCTGAAACCACTTTCCCCCTTAAAAATTGCTACTGGCTTTTTATCATTTGTTTGTAAGTGAGTATCAAATTAGGTCTTCAGTCATAGAAATCACTGAATCCATCTTGTGAACAGTGTTCCTGGGGGCGTAGGGCTGCTTCAATATCAGAATTGCTGTCATCAGAATCACCCCAAAAAGCTAGATTGGGAAACACATGGAAGAAATAACAAGGCATAACACTTTTAAAATCTCATGATATACAGTATGGGAATATTAAGCCTTCAATGAATGTCAACTAGATATTCAATACTGCATGACCCCCATTTAACTGAAATCATAGCTGTAAAATTTTGGTCTATGGATTGAACCTGGTCCATCTGATTCATCATCCCTATCTAAGGGTTTGTGAAGTTGTCACCTTCATTAAGCATTTTTTTCTGGCTCCTTATCTTTGTTTTTTTGAAACAAAAGACAAAAGGGAAAAAGTTTCTTGAGTGAATACAGGTGAAAAAATTGAGTGGGACTAGGCAATTGTCAGCATCATTTGTAAAGAGATTTTAAAAAAGCAGAAATACAAGAGAGCCTCAGACTTAGACATATTAATCCTGAAGAAGCAGAAACTGCAAAAAAAAAAAAAAAGTTTCCCATTTTGGGCAATGACAATTTCTCAGGAATTACCCACTGTTGTCACTATTAGCATTTGGTATACAAAAAATGGTATCCACATTATGATTGACATAATAAAACAGGTTATTCTGCTTAGGATAGAGCAGGGCTTTTCAACCTTTTCACCCATTGTACCACTTTTAGGATATGGCAATATCACAGTACCACCAGTCGCCTAGCAAGGTGTCAAAAACTTGATGACCCCCCAAAAAAGGAAAAAAGTGATAAAGTACAGGTAATCCTCGACTTACAATAGTTCACTTAGTGACTGTTCAAAGTTACAATGGCACTGAAAAAAGTGCCCCCCAAGGCACAGCCGAACAAGACACCTGCCTGCCCACCCGGCGGCGCTCTTCCTCCTGTCCGAGGTTTTCATTGTTGTGAGCATTTCTGTTGAGGATTGGCAGTGAGGGTGGGGTGGGGGGTGTTTGGTTTTTATTCCCCCCGTCTGCTGGGTGGTTGCAGCAGATTTTGGTCACTTCACATGATCTTGGGACACTGGGACCGTCATAAATATGAATCAGTTGCCAAGCATCTGAATGTAAATCACAAGACTCTGGAAATGCTGCAACATTCCAGCTGATCAGCGCTTCTTCTGGACTCAGCGGAAGCGCCAGGATCAGCGCCGAGCTCCAGCTGGAGCCTGGCGCTGATCCTGGCGCTTCCACTGAGCCCTGACAGCCCTGCAGCTCCAGCCATCTCTTGCTCAGGCTTGTGCGGTGCTGCCACTGGTTCAGCTCATATCCCTCCCCCGCTACCACTTTTCTAGGATGGTCGCGTACCACCTGCCAGGTGCCAATGTACCACAGATGGTACCCGTACCACTGGTTGAAAAGCCCTGGGATAGAGGAAGACAATCTGTGGGCCGAGGGCCACTTGCAGTCCTCTGGTGCTGGTTTTGCACCTTCAGAATTCCCATAATTGTTGAAAACTGAAGATGCCATTTATCACCATGTTGATATATGAAACAAAACTATAGTATAAGCTCTCAAAATAATCATAGTTAAAAACTAGGCAATCTCTTTTCCAAACCCTATCCTTGGTCTTGGGATAAGGCCCTAATACAGGGATCTTCCAATTTGGCCCTTTTATGACTTGTGGACCAACTCCCAAAATTCCTCAGCCAGGCATCCTGGCTGAGGAATTCGGGGAGTTGAAGTCCACAGGTCATAAAAGGGCCAAGTTTGAAGACCCCTGCCCTAATGTTTTGCTATCCTCAAAAATGTGGCTTTTGGATACAGAAAGGTTATTCACCCACGATTCAAGTTCAGAAGAAAATGTGAATGATCTATGGCCACTTTAGGTTTTGGACAATCGAATAAAACAGGGCTCTTCAAACTTGGCCCTTTTATGACTTGTGGACTTCAACTCCCAGAATTCCTCAGCCAGGCACTCTGGCTGAGGAATTCTGGGAGTTGAAGTCCACAAGTCATAAAATGGCCAAGTTTGAAGACCCCTGGAATAAAAGTTAGAATCAACGTAACTTAAGGTAGTGCAATCACAGTGTGAATGGTATATATTCTGCTGCTTATCTTCCAAAAGGCTTCTGTAGAGCTAAAAATGATGCAGAAATCACTTGGCTCAGGCACTTTCCTTATAATTAATGGCTAGAAACCTGTGGCTCTTCAGATGTTGGATTCTGGCCTCCATAAGTCTCAATAATAAAGGCCACTTGTAAATAATGGAAATCCAATTTCTGGAGGGTTCACATCTGAGTTAACAGAGTTAGGATTTACAGTGTAGAGATAAGGTTAAGTTTGTATAATACAAAAAAGAAGTGCTTTTTCATATAATGTGTAATATATGTGGAAGTCATTGACAGAAGATGTGAAGAAGCAGCATCTTCAGGGTCTCACTATTTTCAAAATGATGAAAGGAGGTTGCAATGTAAGGCCTATTATTGGGGGAAGGCATAAGTATTGAAATGCACATAGAAAAGGGATGGATCTTGTATCACAATGCTGTTTACATCATCACTGTGATCCCATTTGCTCCTCTTTGTAAATGCCACAGATATGAAGATAATTATTAGCCCTCTTTCAAGATTTCTTTACAGTCATGATCACAAAATGAAGACTTATTTTGCAAATAACTAAAGGTAATTTGGTGTAGAGATTAAAGGTGCCTAGCTAGGAAGTGAGAGATTGCTTTTCTAGTTCCACCTTGCCAACTGGGTAACCTCTCTCTCAGCTCAAAAAGAAGAAAAACACCCTTTCTGAAGATATTGCCAAGAAAATTAGTCCTGGCAGTCCTCAAAAGTCAAGACTGACTTAAGGGCACAAATGTATGTTCTTTCATTCTTTCTTACAGGCTTCTTAGATCCAAGATGCTACTACATGGACTACATGAACCCTAGCAAGATTCTCTATTGCCAGAAGGAAAACAGAAAAAATCTTGAATTGGGTTAGGTGACTACAACTGATGAAAGCCGTACCTTTAGATTTTATTGTAGATATTATTCCTCTTTGATTTTCATCTCTGTAAAAAAAAAAGATATATCAGTGCTGATATAGGGCAGGTGGATATATTTGGACATAACTTAAGATTAGAATGAATTCTAAGAACAGTGAACTAAAAACTTCACCATTGTTAGGATTCAGTTTTAATCAAAGCCAATCCCACCCAAAATGATATTTGTATTTCACAGTTTAAGATTCCTAGTTTCAGACCATTTTGCCATTTTCTCTGGATTAAGATTTTTATTAATTTTTGTGTATGTTTATCTACAATGATCAGATTTGTGCAAGCAATTATATTCTCTGCAAAGCTCAATGGAAGTGGAAGCTGGAATTTAAAGAACCAGAGTAGGAAGAGTATTGATGCCTTTGAATGTTGATGTGGGAGAAAGCTTCTATAAATACTGTGGATAGTCAGGAAAACAAACAAATAGATCATTGAACAAATAATCTCAGAATTCTCACTATAGGTACAAATGACCAGGTTCAAATTATCCTACTTTGGATATACTATACTTAGACCTAACTCTCAGGAGGTCTAGTGTTGGAAAAGCTAGAAGGAAAGAGAAGAATAGGATGAATAATTTGGATGGACTCATTTACAGTAAATAAGAGTGCATTGTTGGAAGACCTAAAAGACCAGATTAGGGACAGATTATCATGGAAAAAAATTGTCTGATTAGGTGTTCAGATGGCAGGAGCACTACATGAAAGTGTCCAACTGAAATAATGTACTTTTTTCAAGATTTCCACAGGACTGCTATAAGCTTGTTGAAAGAAATGTCATACTTATTGTAAGATATCTGCATAAATAATGGCTAACATACGAAAAAATGCATATTGTACAATAGTGGTGCAGCAGTGTCTGAATTCATATTTTTAGATTCAGAAACTTCTCTTTGGATATAAGAAAAGTGCTTATATTCATAGATGTATGTATATGAAGTGGGAAGATAGGAAATAGCATAAACTAAATGTATACATATACATATATATCAAATTCGGTATATTAAAATTATGAACATGAGTGATACTTCAGACTATTTTCTTAAGCCTCCGGGTCTTCCTTTGCCACTTCTGTATAGCCATAATTCTGATCACAAACATCTAATTAGAGTTAAACAAATGACTGCGGAAAAATCTTCCATAATTAAAAAATTATTTCTGCAATGTTCTATAATAAATCGTCTATCAATTTGTTTTATGAGTTCTTAACCATAAGTGATGTGGGCACAAACTACTGCTGAGTTCAAAACTCTGTTAATTTTCCAAGGAAGCTTGGTACATGCCTACTTTTTCCACAGATAGAAGTAAGCAGTATGCCATGTCACATAAGACCATTTTGTATACAAGCTTTATGACTTCTTTATTACTGAAACAATATCTTGTCAATCTTCAAAAGCTGATTATATTACTTTGTCTTATGGATTTTTACACTATTTACATAAATCTTAGTTGGAGAAGCTAAATGAATCCAGAAATTCAAGAGGGCTTAAATAAGGAATTGATTCCTACTCAAACCACTCAAAAGGAAGAATTATCTCCCTACCATGCTTTTCAATGAAGAATATTATTTCATAATGTAGTCTATTGTTGAAAAGTTTAATTCCTTTATGAATTACTCTACTTTCTATAACATTCTATAGTTGTGCTGTGTAAAGAAATACTCATTTTTTTCGGTATTGAATCTTCCACTATCAATGCACAATCACAAGCCAAAATACAAAAAGCAGATGCTTATTTACATTAAGTTAATGGCAGGTACTCCATGGACCTTATGTACACATACCTTTTGCAAGCCCCTAAAGTAAGACCAGCCAACATTTTTAGATATGGGGGGGGAGACTTATTTTTGTTTTGGTTAAGTGTGGGGAGAAAAATGAAAATATTTCAATTCCAAATCTTTGAATGATCTCACCAAACATGCCAGTATGTTTCAATGTTACCATATGTCTTTCAACAATTCTTATATCAACATTTAGCTAAAAAAATGGAGTATAACACCATCAGAGCATTAGTTTCTGTAAACTTTCTTTTAAGAACTTCAGGATCTTAACGGTTTTTGCATCCATAAAGCATTCCTCTTTTTATCACCAACCATCTATACATAAGTATTTTAATAACTAAGTTTGCACTTTAAAAATCTGGCACTGACATTGCCCCTTAGAATTTTCTTCTAGTTCAAGAATTAGTGTACGCACAGAAAAGTTATGTTTAAAGTCCAAGATAATTTATTTGTGATAACTCTTAAAGAACTATTTAACTCTTACCTCATTCTCTAATTTGGAGCTGATGTTGATGAGCAAAGCCATTGCCTTTCTAAAATTAATTTCAAAATTCACTACCTATCCATATTTTAATATGTCTCCAACGATCAAAGGGAAAAGCTTATTTAGCTTAAGCAGTATTAAGGCAATGTCATCTGCAAAGTCATTCGTCCACTTCTATCTATGAGGCTTATTATTTTTATCAGTGTTTTGAACTGTGCTGTAGTTTCAGTAGAAACTGTGATAGGACTAGTGCCACAATCACACTTTGGTCACATTTATTCAGAAGGCTTAAAAAAAGAGAAGAATAAGAGCAACGACTGTCTCATTCCTTTATATTGCTAATATGGGGACAGTATAGATGAGAAACAGGCTGTTTATAAATTGCCAGAAATTTAAAATTATGATTTTCAATTAGAAATCAAGACAGCACGCTTAGCTAATTGAGCAGAATTGAAAAAAATCAAACCACTTTAAATATCTGGGCTATGTCTTCCATGCACAGGGAATCCAGGAAAGGCCATCTTGAGCATCTTATGCAAATGACATCAAAATCTACAATGGCCATCAAAAGATTCTTCTGCTCCCAAGAATATAAACTGATACCAGCAGCAATGAAGCTTTTTGAAACTAAAACTTAGCCCAGATTTGAATAGTTGCTAAAATATAAATTTCAAATGGAAATAGACTGAGAAATGCAACTTGAATTTAGCAAAGAAACAGTGACCCCTTCTGGTCATTGTCGTTATCTGAGAAGATTAAAATGAAGCATTTATCAGACGATATACAGTATTTGAAATCATCAGTACAAACAGCTTCAAGTAGTAACCAGCAATTTATTCAAGTGAACAAAATATTTAAAGAAAAAAACACTTCTGTTAAAAAAAAAGCCAATTTAAACAGCGAATCAGATAAGAATTTTATGAAACTCAAAAGCAAATCCTATTGTCCTTAATCGATAGCCTGGTAAATAAGAATATACTGAAATCTTAAGGCATACTTGAGGAAACTAACTTAAATGTCTTGGGCTTTATTTTTTACATTCAGATGTTGCAAAAGAAAAGGCCTCCAAGAAAAGACATTGCATCTAGCCCAAACCTACAAGGACAGTCTGCTACTGACATCCACTGGCTGATTGTATTGCTACAGAGCAATCAAATGCCACACACATTGCTGCAACCATTGGTTTAATAATTATGCTATAACTACTAAGGATATGTTACTTTTGGATCATTTGTTTCATATAAATATTTTTCCTTTGAATGTAGTGTAATAATTAAATTAGAAACTTTGTGTCCCAGTTTAAGTATATTTGTATTAAGCAGTGGAACTCTGGCAAGAAAATTGTTTTTCAGCTAGGTTACAACAGGGTAATATTTGCTGGAGAAGAGGAAGCTGTGGCATGCATCTCCATACAAAAGGGAACAAGTGGCCTTCAATCGGAGAGCAGCTTCCTATTAAGACTCACTCCTTCGTACATTATGCCTTTCATCCCCACTCAACCACAAAATGATTTTGCTGTTGGACACACAATGGTGGAAAAGATTTACATTGAAAGAATCTTTAATAATAAACTGTTGCAGGTCTGCCCACTTCCCCCACAATTTATAATACAATAAACATTGGATTCTATTAAGTCTCATGCGCTGAAGTTGCACTGGAAAAAAAAGAATATGAAAGCACTCAATTCTTCCCATCTCCAGTGCCATAATAGTGAAATGAGCATGGATAAATGTGCTAAGAGTATCTCTTTGCATCTTTTATGGCTTGTGTGTATTAATCTGTAAAGCTTATTAAGAAAGTCATTGCTATGCAAAGCAGCACCCAATCTCTTTTACTTGCTTTTCAACAGAGTGCAGTGTTTAGCCAATAGGACTTGTCCACTGCCCCTCATTCTGCATTCATAACATGCAACATTTGCACAATGTATCTCTCAAAGACTGCTGAATAAAAGCCTTAATACTCATGTAAACAACTGCAAACCAATTACTTAATGAATCAGGTCCACGCATAATGAGGTGCCAGACAAAGAGCTATAAATGCATTTTTGCGCCCAAGCCTCTGCTTTAAAGTAAAATCCCTCAGCTGTAGTTTGGGCTTAACTAGCACATCATAATTATTGTCTGTAGGACATCAGTGGAAGCCATTTTAAAAAAAAATTAGGTCCATCAGGGTATTTCACGAGTCGCTCATCAGCTCAGTGACTAAACACTGTGAAGGGGGGGGAATTAAACGTACCACAGCGGTACTAGACTGTTATGTTTATTTTCAAGTACTGATTTTCAAGACCACTTGTAATAGCAAGAAGGTGCACGAAGTAACAATAAGTGGAATTTTTAGACATCAGCCTGTAAGAAATTTCTCTGTATCTGAACTGCTAATAAATATCTGCGCTTTATCCCTTCTTTCACACTTTATTTGTACTTTATTTGTAACATCTTTATAAGATAAACATCCAATATAAGATTGGAAATGTTACTAATCAATGTGGTTTTAAAAGGCCTTTATTTTCCTTATAGAGAAAATTAAAATGCAAGTGTTCTAAAAATAACTATTAATTCATGTTATACTGTGCAATAAATTTTCCCCATTAGAATAAGACTGTTTTGTTCCTTGCGTCTTTATGCTAGAGAATGTGTAATTTAATGTATAAGAAACTGCTTGTTCATATTATAAAAGCATGTTTCCAGAACATTTAAAAAATGTTGATAGTGTTTACAATATGCTTATTCTTTTTATATAGCAAATAGTATTTGAAGATACTTCTTTGGCTTATTATTCCTTCAAATAGCAATAACTATTTGAAATGAAAACTAAATGAAACTGTAGCCAATATATTTTAACAAATTAACTTCAGATAGTATTATTCTCCAACTTCAGTTCCTGAAAATCAGATAAGAAAATTATTGCACGGTACAGTGTATTGGCTGCTCAATTAATTTTATTCCATGACTACAGAGTACCAATTTTCATAATTATATAGTTAAAAGTAAAAAAAAGGTTATAAATATTACTAAGTAGGGATATATTATTGTATAACAATAAAAATATCAGAAAATACAAATGAAACTTTCAAACACAGAGCAGCACAAGACAAATCAGGCTATGGAAATGTGTTGAGAATTATTATGTAACATTCTAAAGCCAATTTAAAATTCCAGAATTATTTACTATGCTTCATTTACTTATACCTCTTGATTGCTAGCAATTTGAATCATGCTGCTGACAGAAAAAAAAGTGTAACACAAAATCACCCAAAGAACAAGGAGGGGGGGGGGAACAGATAAATTGCATCTCTTTTGGAAAAACAAGGGCATTAATTAAACACTCTCAATTTGAAATTACAAAAAAAAAACCCAGATAATCTAGCATTTTAGTGAATACAAAAACAGGTATTGAACAAGTTCATTTACATCTCAACTTCACCCAGGAGATGACACACCATTTTATTTCTTGAAGACTTGATGTTTTACGTCTGCCCTTTTCTTGACAACTTCCATTGTCTGGTCTCTAAGTAGTCCTACTGAGAGCAGCTGTACATGCTAATCTGTGGTTCACTGAGATGTCAATGGAGTCTTAAAATAAGAGAACAACAGCTGCAAAACAATACCTGGCTTTAGTACAAATATTTTCTAAGGTGTACTTGTCTTTAAAGTTATTATTTTAGAAAATCACACATCTGAACTGTAGCCCAGAGATCAAAATATTGTTGTCAGCATTCCATGAAATTCCCAGAGGCATTTCTCAGCAATAGTTGAAACAATTCACTAATGAAACGCTTTAATGATTTTACCTTGGCAAAGAACTTTTCCTCTCCAGAGATGAAAAACTGGGCTCAGAACTGGTTCCATTACTTTTTTGTTCCTTTAAGCCACTGATGTTTAAACCTGAAAGATAAAAACCAAACACTTCATTAGCTGTTGGTTAAAATAAATGAGAAATTATAATCCTGCACTATAACTTCTGGTCGGAAGACCCCATAATAATAGATGCAATGTAGCAACAAAAGTTTAAAAATATATTTAGATTTTACAGTGTGTTATTAATAAACATAGTTCACTTTAATACATCTAGGCAATTTAATGGTTCCCCACAAATAATGTACCTATATTTTCCACTACTACTTTATTACTATACTGTATCAGAATAATATATAATGGTAGAAAGGAAGGTGGAAGCTTAAAATAGTGTTTTTGTAAGAGTTTATTTTCTTGTTAAAGTATTCTAACATTGTAGTTTCTTTAAAATAATGATGCTTTCTGTCCTGACTGTAATTTGAGCTTTTCCTAGAATTTATTCTTCTTTATATTAATGTTTGATACTTATTTTCAGATGCAGAAATGGTCTTAAATCTAGATTGATGGTAATGCATTAGAAAATATTTGTGGTAATTTAACACCCAGCATTCGTCGGGCTGTAATAAACAAATATTGTACATAATAGTAGAAAACAAATCACAAATATTCAAACTAAATAGGAACCTAAATAAAGAACATAATATTATAATGTGTGTCCTCTAGAGGACATAATATTGTAATTTTATTTAGCATTATACATTGTCATGTCCTTATACATTAAGTCGTATATTGTCAGTGAGAAGACACATAAAGATTACAAGACCAAAGAAGTTAGCAACCAAACCCCATTCATAGTACTATATATTACTGTAATTAGTAATTAATTAATACCATAATTATACTATATAGTAATATATTAAACCAGAAGCTAAAAATTTCAAAATAGTTTATAATTCACAAAAACATCTTTATTTTGACTGATTTATATAAAACTTTTGGATAAATTTTGGGATTAATGAAGCTTATAACCAAAACTGTTCTAAAATATTTTTGTTTTATACTGTCATTATAATACATAAAATATGTTTCACAGAATACATTGGGGATTGAGATGGAGTAAATATATTTGTTGGAGTTTTCCTAGCGATTGTAATCTGCCATAATAATACAGGTAGTGCTGGTATTTCCTTTAAATCATCTACGTATATATAAAAACATTCTGATGCACCACAACATATTTAGTGCAGGACCCAATTCCATTTCCTTTTCTTTCCATCTGAATGTGGGTTCTATGACCCACTGAAGCAGCTGCCAGAATAGTTTCCCCTCAATTTGCCAGACCCTTGAATATGACTTCATTTGCATATCCAGTGCTGAATTGCCAAATATACTGAACCAGATCTCAAAAAATGTGAAACTCAAAATGGAATATTGCTTTTTTTCAGTGTAGTCCCCCCCCCCCGAGTTTTAATTGCTTAACATACATGAATTCTTTGTGAAGTCCTCATTTTATTGGATAAGGTACATTTGCATCTAGTTTCTCTCTAATTCCCTCACCATACATTAAAATTAATATTTTTTTGATTGCCAACAGCAGAAGACATATGTAAAGGATATATCTAGTTAAACAATCCAATTTCTGTCCATCCCACATATATTAGAATAACTTTCTATTCATCCTTCATTTACAAATATGTTTTAAAAAATTCTTTCCTTTTGCTATATTACATGCAGTTAGTGGCACAGTAAATTTTAAAAATTCATTAAAATTAAATAATACAAAATAAATGTTTATTTTAACTGGCAAATATTTATCAAATATTTGCTTATGCCAAAAGGGTGAATCAAGGAAGCAAACAACTAATAATTTAAAAGTTGATGAGTCAAAATGGGAAAACAATCTCATTGAAAAAATGATCCTTTATTATGTTTCTTAGAGTTTTCAAAATGCAGGGATTTAATGCTACAATTCAAGTCAGATCCTAGCTTTAAGGCATATTGTAAAGCTGAAGGTGCTTAGATAACCAGAAAATAGAATATTCAGAGGAAAGAAAATAGTAAGAATTTACAAAAATATCTCCTCCTCTAATCTACAGGAAAAATGACTTCAGATAGACCTTGCAATTAAAATTAGAGGTGAGCACAAATGTCTTTTTGAAATTCTTATGGGAAAAGATATTGGGTGACATACTTACCTGGCAGGGGAGATACCATTGGGTGGACAATTTTTCTGAACTTCTCAAAGAATAGATTCATCTCCAAACATTTCTTGGGGGAAAGATTCTACTGTAGTAATGATAGTAGCAATGCTACTTAAAAAATATTTCCTCTGGGAAGCCAGAGAGATGCGGAATGCTAAAAAAGATGGTTATATAATAAAAGGATACATGAATTGCACCCACCCATAGGCTTTTAAAAAGTTCTGACCATAAGCAAATTCTCTTTCATAAAATGAAATGAGAATTAATAGTAACAAATGCAAAGGATTTTTTTCTGCTAGGCAATAATTATTAGGACTACACAAGACTTTAGATTTATAAACAAAATGATACTTTAGAATGCCTGTAGCACCTGTATGTAACTTAAAACCAAACCAAATCAAATCAATTAAATTAAAAAAAAGATGAATTTAAGTAGCTTAAAAGTTCAAATAAAATAAAATCAGTTTGATTTGATTTGAACTTCTTAAATTCATCTTTTTTTCAAGATCACGAAGCACCTTGAAGAAACTGCAGATAGACACTATGCACCCGTATTAATCCAGGAAAGGAAGCCCTCCAAATAGCATAGAATTCAGTGGGTGAAAGACATTAATTACTGTATATAGAATGTGCTCTAAATGTTTCTCTTGTATGCTTTCTGAGGCGAGCTTAACTATGAGGAGAGTCTAGAATGAGCAGTGATGTACAAAAAGACTCCTATACAGTTCAAGAGTTTCAAGATTACCTATTACGTAATATACATTTTACCATGGGTAAAGATAAAAACCAACATATTAAGATACTGTGTTAGTTATATGATTCTAAGCCATATATCTCATAATACAGTCTCTAGAACAGGGAATTGCCAAGAATTGGACACAACTGAATGGATAACAAACAATAAGCAAACAATAAAGAAATAGTTTAATAAAAAAACAATAATGGCACAGTTCAGCCACAAAACATTATTGACTATTACCAATTTTTATAAGGGCGGCCAATTACTAGTATTGAGAATAATAATTTGGGTTGAATATTACTTCACACTTCAACAACTATTTTCTTAGATAACAGTCTGCCTATTATTTTTCTAGAGTACAGATAACCGTGTCAAAAATGTTACTGGGAGATTGAAAGAACAACTATGAAGCTATCTAAGCATGACTTGCAAATGGATATTTATTGTAGCTAAAATTTCAGTTTAAAAATCCCAGCCCTTGCGTGGTTTGTATAACACTTCATTCTCTTTATATTTTTCTGCTAAATGTATTTAACATTTCTAAAAATAGGGCTGATAAAATGTGCACTTAATTTTTCAAAGATGGCATAATTTTAAGCCTATGCAATACTTTGAATTTGAAGGAGGGAAAGTCCTTCGAGGCATACAAAACTGGTCATTATTGAGAACTCCTTAAAATACCTCTTTTTTCCTAAGATGGTATGGCTCCGTTCCAGAACTTAAAATTGAACCAGGAAAAGATCTACTTTGTTTTAAAGAAATGCAAATGGATGCTAAATGAACACTAGTATCTGCTCCATATGACCTTTTTTTTTTTTTTGCCTTCAATATGCTACACAGGTCAAACAGGAAAAAATTTGCTGTCAAATTTATTGGTACACCTGAGGGCAGCTTTATACAACTACTATTTTAATCCAGCAGCTTCTTTGCTTTTTTGCTAAGATTAAGTATAATGTACCTTTAGAGAGACAATAAAAGATCTCTGACTAAATCAGACAAGTAAATAAAGTTATTTAGTTGGTAGTTAAGGCTGTAGGATCACACATGAAAAGCATGACCATCCCAAATTTTCTGATGATTTGTAAAGGAAAAAAGGTAGTACTTTACACACAGAGACACACACAGAGAGATGTTAGTTAAAGTTTATGCATTAAAACACAAATAAAATCTTTCTTTTTATATTATATGATAAAGTGGATATAGAACTGAAGCCTAAATTATTCACAATTATTTATGTCACTTATATTCATAAATCAATAGTCTTGGAAAGGCTGTAGTATTTTTTATCATGCTTCCGAATTTTTAATAAATTAATTGTATTTTGTTCAATCAATTTATTTCTAATGTTAATGTATCTTCATCTATATATTTGAAAAATGTCTTAAATCATCCCTAGGTTTGCCAAACTTATATTTCATTTCAACTGAACAGGTTACACTGAAGTAAGTTCCAGTTCAAAATGTATCTATTCTAGAATCATAGAATTAAAAGAAGACAAGAAGGTAAATTTCAGTCTCATTGAACAAGAATTTCACTAAATCAACTATCACATATTTTATAAATCTTAGTTAAGACAGAATTTTACAACATGTTATACATTTCTCATTTACTTATAACTTGTCACAAAAGAAAAAAACTACTATATGTTATACTTTTATCCTCCAAACTTTGGTAATACGTTTAATATATTAGCTTAATTAACTGATTCTCATAATTAGATATATATGACATAACATAATTAAAAAGTATATACCAACATTGTATTTTGAATGTTTACTATTAAAAAAAGCCGCACTTAAAACATTGTGGTGCATAAATAAGTGCATTATAAGGTACTCCAACATTTGGAATAAGCATCAGTTTAAGAAAAAACTCAGCAGTGAAATTATTTTTAATACTAAAAACTCTGAAGCAAATGCTCCAGGAATTATTCATTCAGATGTATTAACAATACTTATTGATGATTCAATAGTGGGCTCTCTTATACACAGAAACTGAAGTGGTTGTTACTGTTCATTAGATTTCTCTGTCAGCTTTTCTCCAGGAACTCAAGATGGCATACTTATAAATTAGGTAGATTAGACTGAGACATAATGACTGGGCTAAAGTCCTTTGAGGTTTTCTGGCTGAGGATGAATCTAGGTTAGTTT